TCCTGCTGTCAAGGAGCTCCTTTCCGGACGGAGGGGGATTAAGATGGTGTGGGGGGGAGGCGTTGTCTGTGCCTTGTAGAGGTGGATTAAAATCCTGCTGTAGCTGCTGAGTGAAATCAGCACAGCGTTTGCTTTGTCGTGTGGGAGACTTCTTTGCCACATCACGTAGCCGCTGTATCACCCACTGCAGGTTGCCAGGGTCTGCTGGTGGGAGCAATGCAGGGCTTGGGTGTTTAAGGGGTGGAAGGGGTTGAGGCATCAAAGCTCAGTCTTGCCTGATGTGCCAATGTGGTGATAGGCTGTCCTTTTCAGTGAGGGGAAAGGCAGCCTGCAACATGCTCATAATTGGTGCCTAGTACAGGTGGTTTCTGAGGGCCATCCAGCTCAGGTAAATGGAAGGCAGCCCCTAGTCACCTAGTCATGCCAATAAGATTGCTAGTTAAGCACATAACTATTCTGTCTTTTCTCTACATCTTTTGTATTAAAACGAGACAACGCACTGTGTTTAACTGTCTCTGTGACGCTTGTTTTGTCTTCTGCTAGGCTGTTCGAAAGTACTGTCCACATCATGTGGGTCATTACTTGGGCATGGATGTTCATGATACCCCAGATATATCCCGATCACTCCCGCTCCAGCCAGGCATGGTGATAACCATTGAACCAGGTAAAAAGATATGCAGTCAGTGGTGGACAAAACCATGCAATACTGAGGATAACAGTATTGCTTTCAGTAGTTAGTTGGTCCCTCAGACCAAAATATATAGGTCCTTTCTGGTGAAATTGAAAGTTATTACAGTATTAGAAAACCTTATTTCCCTTGCAAACACAGCCAAAGTGACAGATTGCATGAGTAAACTCTCAGAAACTGTCTGTGCAGCAGGAAGCAGAGTAGAGGAGATCTCAGGTTGTTAGTGTTTGACCCACAGCAGTGCAGGTCAATTGCAGGGAAAAGAAGCTGCGTCGATCCACTTGTACTGTGTTCTGTTTTACTGTGACTAAACTACAACCAGTCACTTAAGTCTCAAGCATTGCATTCTGAAGTTACAGGGATTCACAACTTAGCTTTGTAAATTAGACATTTCCTGATGAATCTTCTTTTCTACTTGTCACTGGATTTGGAATTGTCAGCTGGAAACTGATATTTAATGCTTGGCTCTTCTCTCTCTCGATTCAGAACATTTTAAAAATTATCACTGTGAACATAGCATTGAAAGCAAGAAGTGCAGAAAAGCCAGCTGTATTTGTGGAAAGTTTTATCAATATGCTAATGTCTGTAGGCACTGAGGGACAGTTTCCTTTCTTAGCCCACCAACTGCCATGAATGAGAGGAAACAGTAGCTTTCCTTATTAAAAATTTTTCAGGATCAAACTCATGTTGCTGAAAAATCCCAACTGCTCTCGTGGTGCAGTAAGGGAAAGGTGTTGTTTTAGAGTGTGTTGTATGTTTTAATTCCCTTTCCTTCTTTCAGGCATTTATATCCCTGAGGATGACGTTAGTGCCCCGGAGAGGTTTCGTGGCATCGGTGTGCGCATTGAGGATGATGTTGTGATAACAGAGGATGCACCTCTTATCTTGTCTGCTGACTGTCCCAAGGAGATCTACCACATTGAGCAGATCTGTGGCCGCAGGTCATGATGCCTCTTCTCTGCCTCTTGCATCCTCCTCAGGAGATGCAGCCCTCCAGGGATGCAGATCCTTGTAGCTGGCTGTAGTTGTCAAGTGGCAGAGCATGTGAACAGTCGTTCTGGGAAGTGGAATGCAAAAGGCTTGAGTGCTGAGGGATGAAAAAGCAAAGCAACCTTTTCTGTGTGCTTTTTCCTTCTGATTTGATTAGTGCTGATGGTGAGCTGTTGTAGGACATGGGGGTGGATTCATCCCTCTGCTGTGTGGATCCATCCATTCTGGTGCCCTTGGAAGGATGAGTTTCATCAGTGCCACCAGCAGGACTTCTGGCTGCTCCTTCTCTACATGCATAGGTGCAACTGCTGAGGTCAGGGCCCTTTGTTTTCCCTGTTAGCAGTAGTTTCAGAACAGTGAAATTTTTGAATTTAAGCTTTGATAAATACTGTTTTGGGGGAATAAAGTGTGTCAGACAGCTTTGATTTTTATAGAGCTGGGAAATGGGAGTGGCTTTGGTAGTCAGGAAGATGCATTTAATGGGAAGGTAGTTTTATTTGAAGCCTGTGGAGAACACTTTCAGTATTTTAAGGACAGGATATGTTTGGACTTTGTTCAGGCATATGCAATATTGGCGAAAAACATCTCATCTGGTTTTTCAGCTTATTGGAGTGTTTGGTAATTTCAGAAAAGACAGGGCACAGGAGATTGGACATACCCATTCTTTCCATCTTCCATATTGCCTTCTTTTTCTGTCCCAGCTGTCCACTCCAGTCTCCTGGTCTGAACCAACCTCTACCCTGACCCTGGGAAACAGAGCTGTGTTGGCTGTGCTGGACTCCACTGGTGAGCTGGTGATTGTCACCTAGATGTGAGGTGTCCAATTCCAGGACAGTCACAGCACCTTTCTGGTTTATACTGTAAGTGCCAGCAACTTCAGCACTGCATTTTTTAAGAATCTGCCCTATGATGAGTCTCAAGTCTTTATCTGGCTTTTATTTGGAATTTAAAGAAATTCTCCTTTTTCAAAACATTGAGGACAAGATCACAGCTGCCTTTTGGGTTTTGTCAAGTGCAGCCAGTAACTAATGCTCTTCACTCAGTGACCACCAAATGGACAGTGTCTTTCATCTCTCACTGCTTCTCCTGGGAGCTGGGTGCGTGCATGTGATAAGTTCAGTGCAAATTGTTAAAGGGAAGGCTTGTTAAGTGTGAACACACAACTAATGAATACTTTAGATGTTGTTCTGGCCTGTAACACATTTGTTATTCCATTTACACTTGTTAGAGCCCTATCAACTGGGACAAATTTTGGATTTTGGAACTATGTAAGCAGCTTAAAATAACCTTAACCTGAGAGCTACATGTGTGAGCTGATCTGCACATTTGCCTGTGTATCTAACAGCGTTAATAATTGTACCTACTGTAAATAAGCCTTTGAAAAATATATTAAAAAGTTATTTTCAAAATAAAAACAACTTGTAGAAAGTGATTTATTGGGCCATGGAGTTGCATGGCTGTGGAATAGATATAAGTGCCTCCAGAAAGAGCATTATTTTTCAGGGAGATTTATAAATAATCTGGAACCTATCTTGGACTTGAAATAGCATGGTCAAATGTAGGCACACCCTAATTCCTATTCCTTTTAGGAAAATCCTGCAACTTGCAAACACCAACAGATCTTGGGAGTGTTGGATGAGTGTTTCTGTCAGCAAAGCATTGTTTGTGTCTCTGCTGAGCAGGGAGTAATGGATCTGCAAGGGCTGCTGTTCTCCACCACACCAAGTGTGTCTTCCAGTGTCGAGCCATTTCTTCAGCATAAACTGCTGCTAATGTTTTGAATCTGTTGTTCCACGTAAAGAAAAGTGTATTTTGCAGAGTGTATTAAATTTGAGTCTTCTCAACCTAGATTATTTAAGGCTTTTTCTCGCTTCTTGCAGAGGTGGATAATCAGAGTATCATCTGGCACCTACACACATGCTGCAGTGTCCCTTGAATACAACCAAATACATGAACATTTTACATGACCTTCATCAAGAAACTCTAAAGAATCCCTTCTCTAGCTGCACATACCTCTCCCAATCACCCTGTCCTATATGGCAAGAGTTACAGTCTGTCTCCACCACAGAAGAGATTCCTCTCTCCAGCTGTTTGGGTGCAGGAGCTGCTTGATGAGGGCATTGGTCAGATCGCTGGAAGCAAAAGAAATCTGAGGTATATGCAAGTTCCCTTGGGGACAGATTTTTTTGCACCTGTGGCACAGGTCTTAGGGACATCAGAGTACAAGAAAAAGTGAGAGCCAGCCATCCCTATGGAGAAGCTGTTTTGCTTTCAGAGGAAGTTCAGAAGGCTTTTCTTGGCTTTCCCATGACACCTTCTACAAGGGACCTGCTTTGCCTTGCAGAGAACTACTTAGTAGTAAAGTCCTATTGTTAAAGTACAGTCTGAGCAGAGGTGCTAATTTGCAGATAGGCTTCTGTTATCAAAGTGGATAGAAAACTGGCATTTAACAATTTGGCATTCTGTCACTGTTAGCTGAGAAAAAGTACAATATGTCTGTCCTAAAATTGCATTTTGCAAAGGGAACACATAAAAGAGAACGGAGACGGAGGGTTTTGGGAATGCGCCACAATGCAATAGAGAAGATTCAGGAGAAGGGTGTGAATTGGAGCTGTCGGGATACGTGCAGGTGGATGTGAGAGCAAGGAGAGAACAACAGAGTATAAAATGGCTATTCATATTGTCAGAGTGGTGCAATAGCTCCAGGAAACTGGTTATGCTAACCAGGAGACCCTGATTGATTTGTCCTCCTCAGGAGGAGAGAACAAAGGAGTCAGAGTGTATTGATGAACTTGGTCTTAACAGTTAGTTTAATTATTTCTTTTAAAAATCAATAGAATTATCATATGAGAAAGTTTTCTGCAGTTTCATGTTATTGATCAAGTGTCATATATTAAATAATTTGAAGGAGAAAAAGTATGTTTCTAGGCAAAATCTTCATTATGATGGAGGGAGCAAGGCTGAGGTTACATGGTCTTATGCTACCCAAATTACTGCTATGGAAACTCAGTAATTACTCCCAGGAGAATTACCACAAAGCAAAAAGAGTTAGGGTTAAACTTAGAGAAAAATCTATATGAGATAAATGACAAAAATCCTTTAATTATGATGAGATGCTTAATACTGTGTGTAAATGGATAACAAAACTCTGCACTGCGATAAATCAACATTTTTAAAATTTCTTTTAAACTGAGCTGTCCAGAAGCCTATGTAGGCATCTCTTCATTTGTATGGAGACCTGAACTGCATTTAAGTTTCTAATTTTCTAAGGTCATTACGGCATCTCTGATACATGTGGTCCCAACATGCATGCTCAGCCTCCACTTGATTAAATCATTGTTTGGACATACTCATAATGCTGGCTCTAGGAGTGGATCCGACTTAGAAAATTCATTGTGTTGCAGAGGTGTAACAATAACCTACATTTTAAAGCAGAATTTGTGATCCAAACGCATAGCGAGGCACGGTGGGCTCAATGGGGCTTGGTTTCTTCCTTCATTTCTTCTCACCTGCTTGGAGTTTCTCTTGCTGTCTAACCTGGCTGCCAGTTCCGGCTGCCAGTTCCAGCTGCCAGCAGAGCAATGAGCTCCTGTCTTCTGGGACAAGTTATGTCCCAGCCCACCCGGTTGTTTCTCTGAAGGACCACCTGATATTTGGCTAGCCAAACCCAGACTCTTCAGAAGATGGGCAGAAAGGAACAAGGAAGAATTTCCAGCTCATCCATGCATGTTACCTTCTCTCTCTGACTCATACCACAAATGCCTTTTTAACTACCACAACAGAGTTACCCATTAAGAATGGCAAGGAAAATAATAATTCCTGTCCGGGCAAGCCTGATGTCCAGATCTTTGAGCAAAGAAAAAAGTTAACAAGAAAGCTGCTTGTAGACCCAGGAGTGAGAATGGCTTCTTTAGGGTTCTGTATGTTCCTTCCTCTCTGATGAAAAAAGTAGCAATGCAGAAACGATGTGGAGCCTTGTTTTGGGAGCTTCTTGGGAATGCTGGTCTCAGACATGCTGTGGTGGGCCAGAACTGACAGTGGTCGATGCTCTGTAGACATGTTTGCTGGCATTGTATTCATTTGGAGAAAGCACAGCTGTGCCACAGAAGGGGTGGGGGCTTAAGCTTTCTCAGGACCTCTTACCAGGCTACAAAACCAGGCAGCCGATACTGCCCACAAACACCCTTTTGGCAGATCTATCATTTCTGTCTAGAGGCCTCTGTGAAGTTTGTTATTTGTGTTGGCATTTCTGTGCTGCTGTCCTAACATGCCATCCACATCCTGTTTTGATCTAGTAACCTCTTCAAGTTGTTGAGGTCCTTGCTTGGATAGGCAGGATGTGATACGGCCTCGGGGATTAGGGGAGTTCCAGTGGTGGGACTGAAAGGGCTGTAGAGCCGGCTCTGACTCCTCACACACCATGCACCTGCTCCTTCAGCACAGTTGCACAAGTCTTCTTGTGCTCAGAGGGGCAGAGAGACTCAGCCCTACTGACATGACAGCTCAGGAATCTCCAGTCTTCACATCCCCATGCAGCTGCTCCTGTCACTGAGGCCTTAAATCTCCAACTTCCCTTCTAACTAGTCCCTCTCTGGACTTGCAGAGGTACTAGTCTGCACTAAAAGAGTCGTAGCCTCTGGGCTGTTCCTTGCACTGACCTGTTACTTGTCAGGTTCCACAAGGTACTGCTGAGGTTCCTGTGATGCATTGCAGGTATCTGGTATGGATATTGCTTTCTAATTTATGCTTTACCCTCTTCTTTTTTTTCCAGGAGATGAGCTTTTAACAGCTACATGGGTGTTACTGTGGTGACTGTAACCAGGCAAAAACATACAGTTCATGTTGAGATAATTCTACATTTGTGGACTTGGATGTGATTAAGAGATTTTTTTAAAGGCACGCTGTATTTTTTTTCCCTTTCCTGCAATGAACTTTCAGTTTGACAGTATAAAGTGGAAATCTATGATTCATCTCAAAAGCATGTGTGTATTAGTATGTATATATACACAAACACGTAGGTATTATGCAAACAAATGTGACTTCTAGCTACTTAGAGATTTAGAAGATATTTTCATCAAGTATAATTAAGATTGTTCAGATATCTGACTCTTCATTTCTTTATGCTTTATTTGAATTTAATGTTAAATTTAATTTTACCTTGGAATTCCTAGCATTTACAAATCTTGGGGCTTGAATAATTGCATTATCTCTGTAAT